CGTTCAGAGTTGTCTCACCCTTTACTACAATCACAAATTTCAACCTGGATTCTGAAATGCACAGATTTTTACTAACTGTTTGTTCGTTCCTACCACATTATTGATTTGTGCGAGAGGTCGCTTTTTTCATTCTGCTCTTGGTTTATCGATATTGATTATTGATTATTCGGATTATCTATGTTATGAAATCGATCGTAACTCCGAGGCAGTAAAATTCAATCAAGACGGTCTGGTTCTCCTCCCTCCCCCGACTGGGTTGTGTCCAGCTGGGGGCAGCGTTTCTTTCATTCGCAGGCAATCGGTTGATAGCAGTCTGTTTAGGAGCTAGACGCTGTCGAATATGTTTCATTCTGGCGCTTGCACATCATCAAGAGCTTCACGAAAACGTCGTTATCCATTCCACGGGTTCTACAACGGGATCCTGGGGGAACCGACCATTGGCCGTCACTTGAGAGATGTAGTCACTCTGGTTTAGGAAATCACAGCACGCAATCCGCGGGTAACAAAAACGGACGATAGTGTGAGAAAATTCGAGAATTGTGGTGGAAATTTCTTCTTTTTCGCAGCTGCACAGCTGTTTCATCGGTAGGGTGTCTCAAACCGAGTGACCTGCCGGTTACAACAAGCAAAAATCGTGTACGGGCATAAAGCACTACTTATATGGTCGCTGATAAATCTTTGACAGCCCACGACCGGTTTCGTCCTCCTCGAGGCTCGGAGTTTCCGAGTCCCCTGAGCCCTATGTGCTGCCTGAACCCATATTGCACGGAATTAGCGAAGCACTACTTTATGGTCGCTGATAAATCTTTGACAGCCCACGACCGGTTTCGTCCTCCTCGAGGCTCGGAGTTTCCGAGTCCCCTGAGCCCTATGTGCTGCCTGAACCCATATTGCACGGAATTAGCGAGACGCACTCATTTGCATACCAGCTGACCAGTTCAGGAGCCCCAAAAAAGGACGAAACCGGTGGTGGGATGTCCAACAGTTTTCAGCAACCTTATGAGTAGTGTGTTACATCTATAAAATACGGTGTATTGCAATAATAGCGCACCATACCATCTGAAATATAAAACGGTCTGCTGCGGCCCATTCAATGGGAGAGAACACCTTGAAGGAGGTATCCCGTAAAAAAACTTAAAAATCAATATATTTCCAGAATTCAATATCTTCGTGTTGATTGGTGAGCGTTTCACATGCATTCTGTTTCTGAATCAAGCCGGCTGGATTCTAAAACAGACTTTCTGGTAGTTAGACAAGGATCTCCCGAAACGATCGTTTGTAAGATAAACCAAACTGATCAGGCAGGTAGACCATACCAAGCCCAGATTGGGACGTTTTATCAGTGACACCTGTACAACCAGTTTTTTGCACCATTGTAACATGTGTATATGAAACAACATGATCAAGACCGGAATATCAAGGTGAAACGTCGTTTTTTTCAACTCCCTAATGGATTGCATCAAAAATGATCCAAAAAGCTTTTTTTAACGAGGATCATGTTCTGGCATATGGGCTAAAAGCGCTATCGTTCTCTCGTTTAGCACGCCACATATCGTTCAGAGTTGTCTCCTCGTGATCAGACCGGTTGTGGAACTGGGGAAATGGATCACTGTAACCCACACGTACTCCACGGTATGAATGAATAGAACTCACTTGCAAATCCGTTAGGCAGTGACTTGATGGATTGGGAAGAAAGAAAGAATGAATGAATCAGAATGCACCGTCAAAAAAAAACAACTCACTAGTGAGTTGTAGACAGGAGGTTGACAGGACATTGGAGTTTTCTAGGTGGCCGTAAGTGAATGTGCGGTGATGCGCGAGAACGAGTTGGTCCGGTTTCCCAGCAAGCAGCTGGCTTAGAATGGCGAGTACAGAATTAACCTTCGGGGAGACGGGGTTGTTACAATTTGAAAAATAAGGCCCTACCATCTAGAACTCATCAAGTGACAAACTAAAAATCAGGGTATCGGAACATTGTCGACCTTATCCCTAACGCCTGGGGCCCAGAACCATCCTTAATCAGAGCCGGCGGCAGGTTGGATGACACCAACTCAGGGAGTTGTACTGACCAAACTGAATGGAAGATACTCATCCCCCTTTTGACCAAGATAGTGCCGGTTGTCGTAAGACCGTCGGAGATGCCTACACATCCCCCAACCCAACCTGTAGCACCAGGAGATTGTTCAGTCAGATCTCTACTCAACTTGACCAGCTTCGTGTTAGAGGCCATCGGTACACTTCCGAGTAAAATTCAACGAATTCTGGAGGCCGGCACAGTTCGGTAAGTTCCAGTCTCTGTGAAACTGCACAAGGTTGGAAAAATCGTGAGCGAGGAAAAATGAAAACAGGTGAAGTGTGCAATTATGCAAGATGATGTGTGTATGTACTTTAGTTGCAAAGTAGTTTGAAGTAGTAACGTTGCATTTTATGGATCTCTGAATGTTTTATTGTTTTCTTATGTTATTTATTCAGAAAACATCCAGAAAAGCCGAGGAGCAAACTCGAAAATGTTGACCTTGTTCCGCTGGCACTGTGCCCGAATGCTTGCTCGACCGATCCGTTTGTATATCCCAAACCAGGCGTCATTTCTGCTTTTACAGGCAGCGTTTTCGAACCTCGAGTGCTCCATGGCAGTGAATTTGTTCTCTTACGCAAGGTAACATGTAAAATTCGGTGCTAATCAAGTAGCTGTCAGAACAGGTAATTCCAGGTGTTCGAAACCAACAATCTGTGTGATTGTGTGAATGAACGCCGAACGTTGCGTGACTTGCATTAGCCCAGGTGTGCCTAGCCAAAACCCGGTTTGATTGCACCCGAGAGAACGCGTTTGCTGATATGATACCTCATGCATAGAATGATTGATGAAAACTGTCGTTCAGAGTAAATTTTGTCGTTCAGAATAAATGACATTCAATCTGTACCTTTCCAAATGTGAGTGGTAATCAAGGGGATAAATAATTTATCAGTGTGTTTGTTACCTCAACTGAATGCTCAGGAAACATGTCTTTTTGTGAACGTGAGGGAGGATGTAAACTCTCGTTTTCATCGGTTCACCTTGAGCATTGTGTCCCCGTTTGGCCAATGGATGGACCAAACCAATCACAAAATACCTAGTAGCGATAGTCAAATGGAAATTAAGGTAATCATAGTAACATTCTAAAGAAGAGTCCTTGTGGGGGAGATGTGCTGTGAAAAACTCATTCAAATATGCCTCACCTGGGTCGGCTAAGGTTCATGGCACACGTGGATTCACAGGTAACTTCATAACCGGTGAACCGCGAAGCGCCATTAAATGCAGCCTAGTTACACAAACGAAAAGGTTGCAAGTTGCTAGACATGGAAGAGAAGCTATCATTTGTACAGTGTTTGAAAAGTAAGAATTATGAGGCATTCTCTCCTGAACATCTTTCATGCTTACCACACCGACGTTCCACCAGATGCCGAGACTGAGCCATGACGATTGAGCAGACACTACTCTAATGTTTCATCAGTAGCATACACTGTTAGACAACTATTGAAATGAAGAAAGCCTTCGCTGAGGAGTATATACGTTAGGAAACGCCAAGTGAACAGTTAGAAACTATTGGACGGGGAAGCAAAACTCTCATATGCATCTTGTTTTCAAAGAACTGAACATCCATCTTCTTCTTGAACGTGTCTCCCTGAATATTCATTGACTGTTACTCGAATGCAAGCAAATGCGACTCCGCAATTTCCCTAATGGATCTCACTTTTCAAGAGACGCGACGCGGATTTATGAGAAAACCTACTACTCGCGTGCCTCCCTCATCAGTAGTATCCACCGTTACACGCGTAGTCCACGAGGTTCCATCTGATTCCCCTCCCAAATGAACACCAAATGGGACGCGTGTGGTAAAATCCGCAAGCACTTGCTAATTATGACAACGTTTTCTTCAGGGTACCCCTCAGTTGGGATGATGTCCATGATATCAGGGTGCATACTACTCATGAGTCTACAGCAAACTAATCAGTAGTCCACCGCTGATCATAGGATGGATCTAGTCTACGAATCTCCAAGAATCCAGTATTTCACGTGAATGCAGTCATCCGTATTGAGTATTCCTCTGTAACTACCTCCAAGCGGATAAAGCCTGATAATCTGTCAAACAATTTGCTTGAAATATAAAATTTCACAAGTTGGGCAAACTACTGAGCTAACGAATGAAGGTCAACTTCGTTCTTACGCAATATATTTAAGATAAACAGCGCACAATATTGAGTATTCCTCTGTAACCACCTCCAAGAGGATGAAGCCTGATAATCTGTCAAACAGTTTGCCTGAAACATAAAATTTCACAAGTTGGGCAAACTACTGAGCTAACGAATGAAGGTCAACTTCGTTCTTACGAAATATATTTATGATAAACAGCGCACAACTGTTGATTTAAGGGTTACAAGTAACCAATCTCTCCAACTACCACCCGAGTTACTGGCCCACGGCAATGACCGCTGTCACGTGACGGGTACTTTCGAAGTGCGAACACAGGTTGCCATCGAACTTGCTTGTAAGGTGTGACAGAACCCCGAATGACAAATACACGGGTGTTCACAAAAGTAACGTCCTTTTAAGCAGGAAAACATCTCGTGAACGGTAGTGGTGCTAACGTCAACTGTGTTGACGCATTTGGGATTGCTATCAATGCATGGTTAATCCCACGACACATGGTATCAAGTCCGGTTTTCCAGGGGGTCCTTTGAAGGTACGCACCTCAATTGGGTTACTATTAAGTAAGAAAACATCTCGTGAACGGTAGTGGCACTAACTTCAACTGTGATGACACATTTGGGATTGCTATCAATTCATGGTTAATCCCACGACACACGGTATCAAGTCCGGTTTTCCAGGGGGTCGTTTGAAGGTACGCACCTCAATTGGGTTACNCAGGGGGTCCTTTGAAGGTACGCACCTCAATTGGGTTACTATGAAGACCCCAAGGTGCGGTGGATGTCCATTGTGCGCAAACCTTACACTCTCTTACTTTGATTTGACTCGTTAAGGAAATCCGGCACTAATCTTTGATGGTGATCACAATTCCACACACGGAGCAGAATTTCGTAGGGGCTGAATCGAGCAGCTATTCGCGCATCTTCAAAGGAGGTTTCATCCTTGAATCTCAGCCCGTCTGGGCTGAAAATTCCCCCCATTGGACAAGTGAAACGTCCATCTGAGAAGTCTCACTTGCAGTTTGCAAATCTGTCTTTAGACTACAACTAGAACTCGTTCGCTGAGCGATCTTTTAAGACAAACTCAGAGAGGGTACTCATGGTGACTTCGACATATCAGGTACTGAGACAATACAAGATGTTCGTAAACTTGACGCTTCCACTGGCCAATTGATCATAAGCATATGAACGAGGCAACATTGTCCCGGCTGCGTAGGGCTTCGTCTGCACAGGGAGTACTATACGTACCATACTATACTATACTATGCTTTGCCATACTACACTATACTATACTACACTATATACGCTACTATATACTATACTATACTATAACTATATATGCTGTCCTATACTATATATACTACTATATACTATACTGTACTATAACTATATATACTATACAGTACCATACGATACGATAATATACTATACCGTACTATCCTATGGTGTACAGGAGTACTATGTACACTATACTATACCACACCATACTATACTATAACTATTTATAATATACTATACTATGCTACACCATACTATACTATACTATATATACTACTA